TAATTATTTTAATTTACATATATGGATTTGTTTGTTGGATCTGATGAAATATTTATTATTTAGTTTGAGCATTTTTCTTTTGAAAATGACTTAAATGCAGATTGTATGAATTTTGTTGTGATTCATGATTCTGTTTGGATGTTGAAATTATGATTTTTGGTTTAGCAACAAAATTTGAGTATTTTGTAAAGTTGATTCATGGTTCTATTTGGAAGTTAAAAAGTAACAGGCTAATGGGCTAGGTCAGGCTATTTGTTTTTTTATAAACGGGCCAAGTCAGGCTAACAATTAGACTCGTAATAGGCTTGGGTCAGGCCAAATTGAAATTTTTTGACGTAGGCTTGGACTTTTCGGAAGAAAGCTTGGCCCAGTCCAACCCACTTTCACCCCTACTCATAACTCAACTTGTGAAATCTTTTCTCAAATATTTCTTATATGAAATGATGGAGTCAAAAAATTTTGTGACGTGGCAAAATTACATATATTTTAAAATTCATAATTAAAATAAAAAAATATATAATTAAATAAAATACTCACAATATATAAATCATAATAGAATATAATATACTATAAGCAAAAGTAGTCAAATCAATTAGATTGATTAAAAAATAACATTAATTTTATTTATTATACTTGATACTGATATTTGAATACACATTAAATATTTGAGATTGACTAAAATTAACATAAATTTTATCATGCTTAAATCTACTTTGAATTCAATTTTTTAAATCCTAATTTTACTTCTTAATCTTATCTATTCATTATATATTCATATTTAGATAAGTATCAAATCTATTTGAGATTTGCTAGATAAAAAATCATTTTTATCATGTTTAAATGTATTTTTTGTTCAATTTTTAAATCATAATTCAATTATTCTTATTTATTTAATTATTATATATTGATATTTAGGTAGACACCTAATATATTTGAGATTGACAAGGAAAAAAAACTAATTTTGTTATTTTTAAGTTTATTTTCTACAAGATTATCTCTTTTATATATTTTCAAAATATTTAATATTTTTATATCTTTTAAACTAATTCAAACAATTTTACCTTTTAATAAAGGCTTTAATGTTTCTACAGTGAATGTAGATAAGTTATCTACATTTGCTCCAAAACGATGTCGTTTTGACTATTATAACATTGAAAGAAATTATAATTACAAAAATATCTTGATTTCAGTTTCAAAACGACATCGTTTTGAGCTCAATGTAGATAAGTTATCTATATTGACGGTAGAAAAAGTGAACCCTTTAATAAAATACTTTAATATTTCTACAGTGAAGATAGATAAATTTATCTACATTCACTCTTAAAATGATGTCGTTTTGGGTTGAAAAATTAAAAAATTATAATAAGAAAGATTAGTATAACCATGAAATAAATTATAATTACAAAAATACCTTAATTTTCTTTCCAAAACGACATCGTTTTAGGCTAAATGTAGATAATTTATCTACATTAACTACAGAAAATACAAACCTTAATAAAATTAGGGAAAAACATAACAAACAATTCTTATAACAACACGACAGGTGGTCTCAAACATGTTGCTCAATCACTATATAAGCAATATTAATAGTTAATTTTGAGAAGTGAAAGGGGCGATTGTTCCCCCTAACTTCCTCTTACTCCACCAATGATTGTTCTAATGAGTAACTGTATTTATTATTTAACATGTTTAATGTTAGTATCTTTTAGATTTTCCAAATTGATAGTATATATTATATCTTTTGTAAATGTTGTTAGATAAAAACTAAATACAAATTATTTATAAGATGCATTCTTGAATTTGCATTTAATCGTTTTATGGAAAGAAAATTCCTTCGTTGATCATGCAAAAAATATAATAATAGATTTTATTGGTTCCGTAAAATCATTTACCGGCACTTGATCAAAGGTGGGATAAAAAGAGATTATGTATGGTCGGAATATTATGATACAACAGTGAATAAATATGACGAAGGCTAAGGAAGTTTTGCTTTAACGTACGAGAAAATTAATGGTATTGATGAATATGATATTATATTAATGATGATTGATTAATATTATATGTTAGTTTGTGATATGAATGTTGATATTAATTGTGTTTATTATTAGAGTTAGCTTTTTCTGCAATCAACGTAGATAAGTAGGGGTGAAATTAGGTTGGACTGGGTCAAACTTTGTCTCAAAAAGCCCAAACCTATATCAAAAAATTTCAATTTCACCTTGTCTAAGCTTAGTACGAGTCTAACTGTTAGCCTGATTTGACCCGTTTATAAAAAAATAAATGACCTGACCTAGTCCATTAGCTTGTTAATTTTTAACTTCCAAGCAGAACCATAAATCAACTTCACAAAATACTCAAATTATGTTGCTAAACCAAAAATAACAATTTCAACGTCCAAACAGAAACATGAGTCACAAGAAAACTCATCACAATCTGCATTTAAGTCAATTTCAAAAGCAAAATGGTCAAACTAAATAATATATATTTCATGAGATCCAACAAACAAATTAAAATAACTATATGAATCTAAGAAACACATCATGATGCTTGTAGTAAGTATAACCTCTCCAAAAAACCTTTTAATACATTCATATACATAATCTAATATGCTGAAATATTGGTTCTTCCTACATAAGAAATAAAGTCAGAATTATATTAAAATATAATCGAATTTAATTAAGTTATAAATAATTACAATTGATTAAATTTATATCTTTTATTTTTTCTTCAAGGTATACTTATTTTATTTTATTTTATTTAAAATAAATAGTATAATATAGGCCGATCTGTAGGCTTATAGGCCAGACCTTATGAAAGTAGGCCTACGGTCTATTTATTAAACAAGCTTTTTAAACCCAGTCTATTTTACGAAATATACTAAGTCAGATCTGGCCTGACGTAGGCCGAGCCGTAGGCCAGTTTCACCCCTATAGATAAGTTATTTACATTGAGCCCTGAGACAGAAATCAAAGTATTTTTGTAATTATAATTTATTTCATGGTTATAATAGCCTTTCTCATTATAATTTTTTAATTTTTCAACCAAAAACGACGTCGTTTTGAGAGTTTATCTACATTCACTATAAAAATATTAAAGCCTTATTATTATGTTTTAAATTAATTTTTTTTTTTTGATAACAAAATTAAATTTTATTATTGTTGCATAGTTGATTAGTGCATACAAGCACTTAATATTAATAAAAATAAAATAATTCCAAGGATAAGCTCATTTATTAAATAATAGATAAATAAAAGAAATAATAGTGACTGTTAATCAATAGTAGAAAATTATTATTTTTTATAAATGGTAAGATACAATGAAATTTAAAACATTTGAAACAAGACATAGACATTCATATTGCTTTAAAGTTGTAATATAAGTTGTTTGTCATTAAAAAACAGAAAATAATTATTAATTAATATAATGACAGTTAATGTAAATTTTACTTAAGTCATTGACAAATTTTTATGTTTGAAATATGTCATTAAAATATTATTTTCATCACTAATATTATAATATTAAATTTTTGTGACAAATTGGTATAGGTTTATACTAATGTTAATACTTCAATGATGCGACATTTGTCTCTAACAATAAAAAAAATCTTTTATATAATATTAAATCAGTAAAAGTTTTATCTTTTTTTAGAATTAATAATTTTCATGAACAGAAAATATTGTAAGGAAGACTTGTATTTTATCAGTAATATATTCATGTTGAATATTTGTGACAAATTAATATAGATATGAATACTTTTTTATATAAATTATTTAAATCCTTAATGATGAATAATTTGTCCTGAGTAATTGAAGATGAATAATACTTTTTGTGCTTGTCACTAATATTATATAAGATGACTGACAAAATCAATATTTAAGTCTACTAAATTTTTTTGTCCTTGTCCTTAGTAATTGAAGATGAATAATACTTTTTGTGCTTTAAAGTCAATTTTTTTGTCGTAAATACTTTCTTTAAGTCTACTAAATTCTAGGATACCAAAAAAAAGTCTACTAAATTCTGCATTAGTAAAGATCTTACAGTGAGAAATCAATTATTAGTGATGAATTATCTTATTGTGAGAACTTGGTGTTAGGTCATTATTATAAAAAAATAAAATTTAGTCATAAATAATATAGAAACAGTGACAAATTTTACCTATTACTAAATTTTGTCATTAAATTGTATATTTCTTCTAATGGTGGGTTATGGTTCCAAGTACTAATCTCTATTTCAATAACTCAACCTTGAAGCCAAGTCTGTATTGGTCTAAGGGCCCGTTTGGACGAGCATCTTTTTCTCGAAAAATTGCTTTTTTTCAAAAAAAAAAAAAAACACTTTTCACTTTAAGTTCATTTGGATATCTACTTTTTAAAAAAACATAAGTCACAAAAAAAGTCGAAAACTTACTTTTTTTAGAAGCTAAAAATTTTAATTTCTAAAAAAAGCAGGAGTCAAAAGTCAAATATTTTTTTCAAAAACTAAGTATTTTTATAAAAATATAAATAGCTTTAACTTTTATAAAAAACACTTCTAAAATAAGAAAGTGATACAAGTTACTTTTTCTAGAAGCCCAAACAAACAGGTTAGTAATTCTATAGAGGAGAAAAAGAGAAATTATAGAAATTACAGCGAAATAATAGTTATTTAATATGTATCTTTTACAAGGTACAGACATACAAAATAGTTAGATAGAACTAGAAGGTAGAATTTTTATATTAAGTGATAAATTCACTAAATTTAAATTTGGGTTATGAAATGTGACCTCGGCGCAAATGATAAATTTTTAGTTCTATTGTAATATATATTATACTCACTTTAAGTTATAATACATTGACTTTAGATGTCATTGTGAGTGAAGAAGTTGCCAAGAAAATTCGTATACATAAATACAGGTAAGTGAATATAATTAAATTGAATGTCCCAAGGCAAATAATAAGGACAAAGAGGAGGAATAGGCATAGATGCAAAAATAAGGTCAAAACAAAGGAAGCTTTGTTGTATTCATAAATATCTCTCTTTTATATTCCTACATTCCTAAAAGCTAGTTGATATCAATGTTCATCTTCTTCCATAGAATACAATATCATTTTTGCATTTTGAAAAACAGGAGAACCTTTCTTGGTCCTTTCAACAATTTGCCTTATCAATTGCTTTTCCACCTCATTATCACAACCACTACTTTCTTCAGTAACATTTGGTTCACAGATGCTAGAGCTTTGTCCTTCCAACATTGTCACCTTGTTAGAAGAGAGATCACTTGATAGTCTCCCACCATTAACTATGGAGTAAGTTATGGAACCATTTGCTCCACCGTGTTGAACCCCAAATGCATGAAAATCATGTAAATCTGAACCTTCTTTGTGGTCAGTATCATGGATGCCTGATGGTGAATTTTCTTCAGAGTCATTTATCTTTATTAATTCTTCATAGGCCTCATTGTATGCATCTAGAGCTTCACCTGATAAATTGAGAATTAAGGGCTGAGCCATAGGGTCACAGTCTTCATAAGTCAATGAATTTCCTTTACTAAAGGAAGATGCCTTTGGGAAATAACCCTCATGCTCTGATTCCAGAAGCTGTACTTTCCTCTGGCTATTTTCAAGGGCAATCTCAAGCTCCTTCACCCGTTCCTCAAGTTGGCATTGTTTAACTTCATGTAGACGCAGACTCAGTTCATGAGGCGAAACTGCATAGTGTCCGGGGAGAGGTGTGGTGTCACTGGCATCCTCATTTGATTTTTGATGATCAAAATCTTTTCCACTGACCGTGTCAGCTCGCAACTCACCTCTAGCAAAATCTGCTACAAACTCTGGGTCAAGCTGCAAGAATTTTCCCCATTAGCACCCATGGACCCATTTAAGAACCGTTAACTTCAACCAAAAAAGCAATGGAACACAGCATAGAGTGTAAACTTTCACTGGAATAAGAAAATTCGTATGACTTCCAAAATAAAGATATGTGTCATGTGAGAACTTCTGATAAAAATAAGGCATATAAAATAGGGAAAGGGACCAAAATCAATATCTAATTATCTATAGCAGCGCATGGATTTTTGATTTTTTACTCTAGACACGAATGCAAGTTAGTTGCTAGGAACTTTCAGTTACTACGGCAATTCTGATTTCTACTAGAATACATTAATCATATGAATGAGAAACCCACGATGCAGCATAAATCAGACTTAGTGGAAGTTTTATGCATTCCTCTTTCATGTTACAAGTCTAGGTTATACTTTGTACTTTCTGTAAAGGTGAAAACAGGGAGGACTTGAGTAATATGATCCCTATTTGAAGGCACATAAATCAGAAAGGATTATTTCCATTCCTTGTTATTTCAACCACAATCAAGGATGATACCAATTCAACTAGTAGCTGCATACATGGAAAATTAAGGGAAAAGTTCACCAATGCTCCTGTGGTTTTTTTCCTATCACATATGCCCCTGTGCTTTGTAAAAAATAAGAAACCACAGGGGTATATGTGATAAAAAACATACCCTTTTACAAACCACAGGGGCATATGTGATAAGAAAAAAACCACAGGGGCATAAGTGATTCTGAAGTAAACCACAGGAGCATTGGTGAACTTTTCCCAAAAATTAATAATAAAACACATCACAACATATATATTTCAAGACAACGTTTTGTGCCAAAGGTTGTGTAATTACTATTTAGTATAAAGATAAACATTTATGCTTACCTCAACAAGATTAGATACTTTTCTTTCCAGGCTTGATGCTTTCATGTCCAACCCCAATCTCTCAAGTTCAGCTTCAAGCTCAGCTTCGATTTTGCTCATAGATTCTGAACTTTGTTCTTCTTTCGGATCGTAGGATTCTTTGCAGTCAATTCTTGGAGAGTTATCTATATGCTTTTCAGGGGAAAATCCATTTAGCTCCTTATCATAGAAGGAATGATCGCATGTATCCTGGGAACTATAATTTTCATTGTGTAACTCCTTCACAGTCATTGAATCTTTCATTTCAAGTTCCTCTTGTAGATCTTGAACCAGGTTTTCTGTCTGCTTCAACGACTTTCTTAACTTGTCTATTTCTCTTTTATTTTCCATAATGGAAGTTATCATCCCAAAAGACATCCCAAGACTGAAGATAAATGCTGTATCTGATGATTATGAATGTGTTAACAAATTTGTAGTAATCAAAGTAAAACACGTTACAAAATACAAATCAAGTACCAAAGACATGATATCCACCCATAAAATAAATAGCAACCTAATTTATTTAAAGGTCAATATTTGCAGTTGTTGATGCAGATGATATGTATAATAACTCATACCTGTATAATGAGATAAATGGGAATTGATCATAATTAATAGAGAGAAATCAGAAAAGAAAGAGAATATTAATATTAGAATAATTCACTTTACAATAAGAAGTGAGATTACACTAAGTTTTGCCGTAAAAATGCAATTAGGCAATATTACCGGAAACTTAGAGAATTATCAGATAAAGAATAAATTTAGAAAGTTTATGAGATTATCACACCTTTTAAATTCTAAGTGATGGCTAGTAGATGTTATTATAAGAAGAAAAGGATGACTTAGTCATTAGAAGAAAGAAAATGAAAAAAACAAGACAGTCTTCTACTTGCTGACTTATTCGCTTAAGCGAGCAGACACGTGAATTGAGTAAACTTAAATAAAGAGACTCTCTCTCCCCACACAAACAGACCCACCATCAGCCATAAAGTAGAGTGGAATTCTTTTGAGAAGAGAAGGAATAGACAAGAGCCATAAAGTAAAGTGGAACTCTCTTGGAAGTTCCACAGATATCTAAGAGCCACAAAGCACAATGGAACCCTCTTAAACGTTTATTACAGAGTATATATGTATGCATACTTGTTTTAATATTATGATGCACTGAAGTAAACTATAGGGTGGAGTGATACTCCAACGACACTTAGTTTATTGAGATTTTTATCTCACCCCACGTTTTTGGGATATCATTTCAGGTACTTCCACAGCTGGAGAGGGAGCAACTCAGGGCAAGACACCCACTTAGATTTCAGTTTATAGCATGCTACATGATTTGGATTAATTTTGTTGTACATTTAATTGTAATCCTATTATTTTGAAAAGAGCAAGAAGAGATGAATGTAGGAACTTATAATATGATCATGATTACCTTGTATCATTTTGATGTAAATTGATATGTAGGATTTTGATCATATGTTTTGTATAATTTAAGTTCCTCAATTGTAATAGACTTGGAATATGATGATATACCTTATGATATTGTCCATTGATATGTTGCATGAGAAAAAAATATGTATGTTATATGCCATTAGAATGACCCAAAAGGTTGATGCATGTATAAGAGATATATGGAAGAAATATGAAGAAAGAGAAGTGCAATATGTCTGAAACGAGTTCAAAAGATGTATGATAATGAATTAGAAGATAACTTGCTGAGCAAGTAAATAAAGAGCAATAGCTTGCAACCCAAGAAAGGGGATTATGTAAGGATGTAAGTGCACCTATGTTTGTTGGACATATGGTTGCCATTACAGTTTAAACAGGTACAAAATGGTGCAAGTATCCCCTAGGTTTGGTCCTTGAAACAAAGGGAACCATTCAAAGTGCAGAGTTGCTCGTTGACTTGCTCGCTTCAACGAGCAAATTAAAATGGAGACAGTAGCCACTATCTAGACAGGAGCGAGCATGTCCACGAGTAATTGCTTGGGATCCAAGAAATCCCTATTACTTAACTAAAAATTTAAGAGTTTGTTCGCTGGTTTGTTTGCTGAAGTGAACTAAATATGGAGATGGCAGTAACTACTGCCTGGTTGGGAATTTGCTTGCTGCCATGCTCGCTTTAGCGAGCAAAGCAGCGAGGAAATACGATTGCTTGCTAAGCAGCAAGGAGTTGCAAGATAGCCCCAATTACTGTCTTAAAATTTAATTGCTCGTTGAAGATGCTAGCTCAAGCGAGGGACTTAGCGAGCAGAGCAGAATGGAGAAAAAGATGTTCGAGGTTATGACTGTTTATGGGAACTTCATAAAACCTAATTCTAAGAAATGTATGATATATTTAAGCAACTTCTAAGTTTTCCGCACATTGTTTAAGTTATAATGACAGTTTTAAATTGTTTAATTACGGAAAGAGTTTTAAACAGAAAAATGTTTATTAATAGCAAAAGAAAAGTTATTCCGTATTTTAATCACTTACTGTAATTGTAAATGCGCTTAATATCATACGTAATGATAACAAACCGGAGTACTACTGGGTGTTACAATATGTTTGGGTTAGAAAGCTTGCTTTGAACAATACGTTAAAGACCATAAAACCCTTTGCTAATTAATACTGGGAACGATGTTTTAGGACCTGAAGCAATTTCTTTCCACCCCGTGTCCAAAAAAATATCTATCAGTAAAAAGGAACAATGAGATTGATCTACTGTGTGTTTCAATATCAATTCTCATGAATATAGAAACTAAGAGATACGCTTCCAGTATGTAATGACTTTAAACCAACTCAAAACCATTTGTTTTTCAAATAACTCATAGTATATGAGTCTCATTCTCTGAGGCTAGTGAATTGTGTAGAAATACCAAATATCTATATTTATAACTTACATCTGTGATAAAAATAAACCAAGATTTCTTTACAAATTTTCTTCTCATAATACAGGAAGAGACTGAAACTAAACATAGAATGCAGAGAAGTCTAAAAAACATATTATATCGCATTGGAAGATTTATAATTACCTCAAGAGTAACAAATGTGTTATCACAACACAGGAAAGAGTTGTAAACATAGGCATGAATGAGAAGTATATATAACAAACATTTGCAATGCAGCACAGGCTAAAGAGGTACTTTTAAATCAAGAAATATACCGTATTGAGCATGGATGTGTTTTCCACTGAACACAACATTGGAAAAGCTCAGTCTTTGACTTTGCCCAATGACTGCATTAAATTTCTTCTTCTTAGCATCATTAAAAGATCTGATATTTGGTAAGGAAGGAACCCCAAATACATTTTCATCTTTTTCTTGACAGGGTTCTCTATGCAACTCATATTCCTTGCTTCCAATTGATGCACCGAACAAACTCTCATTTGCTCTGTTGATGATTTGGCTTCCATTGCTTACATGAAATGACCTTGTGGACGTGGATGGTGATGAAAGAAAACTAAAGACGCATTCTTCCATTTCGGCATGTTCTTTGTATAGCTGAGCCATGAAGCAACTTTCTAAGGAATTTAAAGGTCTACTAATATGCCCAGTCAAATGTTTCTTCCTGAGAAAGGTTTTATGTCCACAAGAGTTATGGATAGGAAACTCTGCGATAGAAGAATCAGGAAGAAAGAAACCATGATTGCCAACAATACCAGAGCTTTGCTCCATTCCATCTTCAACATTCTTCAAGTTATCATTTGGTGATACTGATACTCCTAAGTTCGATATAGATAGGACATCATTCTTGTTATAATTCCTGAAGTGTCTTGTTTTTTCACTATCAAGCCCTCTACTAGAAGCCACTTCTCCTGACAAAAGACCATCCATTGAGTTCACATCTGAAGACTTCCCATCTGAAGCCCTTTTATCTAAAGAAACATCTTTACCTGATTTACCTCTCCCTGCTTCTTTGAGAAAGGGAAAGGGACATCTTGGGGACTCAGGATTCTCAAAATATGAATCCTCTGAAGACAAATGATGCGAGCTATCACCAACTTTTGAAATTCTGTTCCAATATTTAGCTACATACCCAGCTCCAGCAGCAGCTGCAACAACCCACAAATCCATAACACCCTCCTTGACTCACTCCCACAGCCACTACCCAAACTCCACAGTACAAGTTACCCTCTTTCTTTCAATTATTAGCACCAAACAGCCAAGGGAAGAAGAACTTTCCATGAATTAGAGAAATAGCCTTCAAGTCTTCAGGCAATAAAAAACTAATGAATGAAGAGCTGAAAAGCATTCCCAGTAAAACAAAACCACAATCCCTGATTCAACAAACATATAAAATCCTCCTCCAAACTCTAAATTATATTTTACATTAAATCAAACCCACACCATTCACTACTCTAACCATATGAAACTACTCCCCAAGTGGGAGCAAGGAGAACCAACAACACTTGAAAAAAGCAATAAAAGAAAAATAAAATTCATAAGTTTCTGCCAACTTCAAAAGAAGAAATCAACCAATGCCAGAGACAACCACCACCTAAATGTAAAAATTCCTGAGAGAAACAAATTTCACAGTGAGATACAAAAATCACAATCTATATCCCACTGAAAGTAGCTTCTTCACTGTAAGAAACCCATTTGGCCAAAACAATCGAAGCTAATGCCCCCAGAGTTTATTACAATAACAAATGAACACGACCCTTGTTGCTGCTAATTTTCTGGCATTGAAGAAAAAGACACCCAAAAAAAAAAACTTACTTTTGAAAATTCCTCACTCTTTGTGAAAGGAAATCTAAGACACGAGATTTTGTCGAATCTCGCAGGTTGGATTCCACGAAATAAAAAAGAATGAGACCCGCTACACCGTTATCTCCACGGAACAGATACAATACAACAAACACCTACGACATGTTTTCACGAATGTAAAACACTGGTCGCAAATAACATATCAAACGGATAATAAATAAATATTTTTTCTGTAAAGAAAATTCAATGCTGTTTTTTTGTTCTCTCTCTCTCCAGATTTTTATTAGATTCACTGGAGCCTCATCCACATTGGCCTGTGTCTTAAAATAATTAAGAGAGAGAAAATAAATAAAAAATGGAAAGTGTCTACCCCAATTTCTCTATCCGGATTTCCTTCTTCTTCTTTCGGTCTTTTTCTTAATTTTTTTTTAAAAAATATTTCTTTTAGTCGTTAGAAATAAAGTTATATCCAATTAATTTAAACGATGTGATTTTGAAGTTAAAAATTAAAAATTGTAATGTTAAAAACTAATATAACTTCGCAATATATTAAAATTATAAAAACATCTCAATTTCTTTTCTAAAATAGTAAAATGACATCATTTTAGACTCACTAAAAATAACTTATTTTCATTGAATGAAAAAATCATTTATCTTTTTTAAAAATGACTTAAGAAAATAAATAAATAACTCATATCAAATAATATCCTGAGGTTAATACCAAAAAAAAAAAAAAAAATATCCTGAGGAAAAAATGCTTTTTCAGGTAAGAAAATAATAAAGGTTTACAAAAATAATTTCTTTTTAAATTTAGATATTTATGAGAGTTGTTTTGTTATTATTCGTTTGTTTCTTTACAAATTTTATGAAGAGGCTAGAGAATTGAATATTCCAACCACCTAAGGACGTTTCATATTAATATGGATTTAACAGTATTCCAATTGTGCTAAACGGTTTTAGAAAGAAAAAAAAGAAACAAATGATTATGATCATATTTTCTTAATATATATTAATTGGTGTCCAAATTCCTAAACCAGATGACTAATCATATTTCGGATTTGATTCTTTCTATCTTTTTTAAGAGTTGCAATCTCATGAATCTAACCCATTACATTTTGAGCAAGTCAAATATTAGGTGATTAGAATAACCTTTTTTATTAGAATTCATGACATTTTTTAGCCTTTGAATATAGTAGTCATTTCTGTGGAACTATTATAAAAAACATTAAAATCAAGAGTTTTGAAACTATTGTAAAAGAGTTTTATGTTATTATTCATTGATGTGTAATCATGTGTCATTTAATAAATTTTAATAACATGTGAGTTGTCAAACTGGCAGATGACAGTGTAAGACACTTCTACCTAATAGCATATCAAAATTAAACTCTTCAGAAAAATAAAATAATTAATTATAATTATTATAATAATGGATATTTCAAGTAAATGATATTCATCATGAGATGCATTGCGGTTCAATAATTTGAATGTTGGACTTTACCTTTGTTGTTTAAAGAAATTGAAGAGGGTTCTTCTTGTATTTTTGTTCGGCAAAAAATCCGTACTAATGTTATTTTTCAAATGTATCTCCATCCTAAAACACATTTGAAAAGAATGGCCATGTTAGAGCAGTCAAACACGTAGGTTTGACTGACGAGATAAGTCCCGCCAGTGAGAAAGACGAGATCAGAAGCCACGTAAGAAGTCCATGTCACGTGTTTTTCACGTATCCCGCCACCTGCTGTGACATGTAGCAGTCCCGCCATGTCAGTTGGCGAGACTAAGCCACGAGTGTGACACATCCGCAGTTCTTGTGACGCGTTCCAGCCACTCCTCGCCATACTCGTGGGGTAGCGTCCCGTACTCAACAAAATAATCGTGGGGTAGCGTCCGGTACTAAATCTCGCCACTGACACTTACGGTGATACCTGCCTGGTTATATATAGGGTCTTCCGGTGTTTGCTAGTATTGAAAATTTTGAATTTGGGTTATGTTTGCTATTTTTGTATATGATTTTGACGGACGGTTTCTTTACTTGTAGTAATTTGTTTGTATCACTTGCTGTGTGTAATTAATTTCCAAAAGGTTTTGTGTCACTTGCTGTGTGTGTAATTTCCAAAAGGTTTTGTGTCACTTGCTGTAATGCGGATTTAAATGTTGTTTATTTACTTTTTTTAATCTCCACTTGCATCCGATCTTTTTGTGTTATTTGCATATACCCATGTATTATTACAATGGAACAATATCGGTCTTTTGTATATTATAATGGTTCTAAAATTAACGGTGTAGGCGGGTTGAGATTCGAAGGGGGGAAAATAGCAATGTATATTGTGCGAGGCTTGTCGATTGAAGATCTACTTCAGAAGATTCGTCAGAAGTTGAAGTTGCAACAAAATCAGGTAATTTCTTCAATAACGGGTCGAGTCCCATGTGGAAATCGCAAATATGCAGGTTTTGATCTAACTGATGATGAGGACATTGATATTTTTCTTGGAACATTTGTCCAAAACTCTACTACGTCTTAATTTTTTGAGTTATACGTGGATATTGAGACATCAGACCAAATGTCAACACCGACACGTGGGTTGGACCTTAACAGTCAGACACAAATGCCGTCATGATCGGTACCCCATCCATACAATCAACTATTGCGCATGGAGATGAAAGTGACTATATGGTAGATGTTGAACCTGACAATGAAGAGGAGGAGGAAGATGAAGACACTCTATTGGCAAATGACCATGATCAGAATGATAGTGATGGAGGTGATGATGAACATCATGATAATCCCATAACACAGGAGACAGTTATCCCTGTGTCCAATAATGCGGTTATTCCACCAACATCAGGTTAGCCATTGAACGTGTTGTATGATTAATTTTTTTTAATCGCTTTAATATTTGCCAAATCACATTTTTTTATTTTTTTGTAGATGTGACACCATTTTGGGATGAGATCCCACACTATGAGGCTGTTAATTTGGATTATCCGAACAAAGACATACTGGATGTTGAAGGCTTAGGTCGTGGTCCGTGGACAAGAGGAGACGAAATGTATGTGAAACAAGAGTTCCGGTTGAAGAGCGATGTGCAAGCTGCTATAAAACATTACTGCATGAATGAGCATCAAGAAGCTGTAGTGGTTGAGAGTACTACCACGAAGTTGTCTATGAAATTTCGTAAGCATGAAGAAGGCTGCAATTGGCGAGTAAGGGCAATTAAACCGAAGAATAGCAACAACTGGGTAGTCAGTAAATGGGGTGGAAAACATTCTTGTTTGGTCTTCTTCAAATTCAATTGTTCATATATATGTTGTAATTTTTGTTTGACAGCGGACTCCATTACAAAACTATGTTCCAAGAGATTTTAAAATCAAAAAGTGAGGCAATGTTTTTAACAGATATATGCGTTTAACAAAACAACTTGAGAACACATGTATCTGTCCACATCAATACACCACAACATGCAAAAAACAAACATGTGGTCCTCGAAAAAAAAGAACCACATCATGCCTATAAATAGTTCAAACACAACACCATACAAACAACAACATAACACACAGATATAAAAATCGAGCCAATAGGTAAAAATAATACAATGCCAAAGTACCTGTGGTTTCGTGACTAAACGGAAAGGAGGAAAGATGGGAACGCACACAGTAGCTCCGGCGGAGGTGCTAACGGACTGGAGAACAATCTTTGGACCCAAAAATTTGCTTGCTTCACTCTCTGACTTACGAAAATGGAAAGAAATGAGGGAGACAAACGAAGAAGAAGAAGAGGGAACAAGAGGGAGGAGGGAGAGGCACCGGTGCAGGAAGAGATAAGAAATGAACGGTTGTAAAGGAATGCCGCCAACAAGTGTTACAAGACTTTGGCCACATGGCTTAGTCTAGCCAACTGATATGGCGGGACTGCTACATGTCACAGCAGGTGGCGGGATACGTGGAAAACACGTGACATGGACTGACGCGATTGGTTGGGCTTCCTACGTGGCTTCTGATCTTGTCTTTCTTACTGGCGGGACTTATCTCGTCAGTCAAACCTACGTGTTTGACTGCTCTAGTATGGCCATTCTTTTCAAATGTGTTTTAGGATGGAGATACATTTGAAAAATAACATTAGTACGGATTTTTTGCCATTTTTGTTCGACTTGGAGTATCTGTTTATTTTTTTCTCTTATTAAGTATGAATTTTATGGTCTTTTTTTTGGGGGGAAATTGTCATTTTTCTTTTTCGTACTACGGATTTGTGTCTCATGGCTGTGGCCAACATTCATGCATTGGCACCATTTCTCAACTATTTGAAAATAACTCTTTTTATTACTTATTTCCCATAATTAGGGGTGATAAACGAGTCAGAGGCCTTTCACGAGCTTTTGGCTCGGCTCGTAAAGGCCTGAGCTCGTTTAATAAAAGCTCGTGTTGAAACCAGACTTGGACTTGTAAAAAAGCTCGTTTAATAAAAAGGCATCAAACTCTAATTCAGAAGCTCGGCCTTAGAGCCTCTCAGGCTAGCCTAGTATATAAATATTTATTTATACTACTTGTAATAACTCTCTCTCATCAATTTATTTCACCCCATTTTATTGGTTTAACAGACTTTTTGAATGGTTTTGTTCTATATTATGCTATTTGGATATATATTGAATTTATGTATATTTATGGAATTACTAGTGTTGTTCTATATTATCCTTCATCCTCCTTCACACAAACAAACCCACAAAAACTCATTCGTTCCACTGTGCACTGCTCGTTTGTGTCAATTTATTTTTTATTTTATTTATTTTATTTTTATTTTTGTTGGCACTTTTTTTATAATGGGTTAAGATAATATAACCTGTTATCTACCTTCTCTCACTTTAATTTTTTTTATTTATTGTAGACTTTGTAAATTATTGCTGCAAATTGGAAGCTAAGGTTTCTATCTGGAAATTGATTTTTTGTGGAATTCTGTTATCTTATTTTTATTCTTTAACATGCTAACAGGCTAAGACAGGCTTCACACAGGCTTTTATTTTTTGTAAATAAACCAGGCCACAGGCCAATATTATATTCGTAACAGGTAACAGGCTAAGGCCAGTCGGACACGTTTAAATACAGGCTTGTCCCGTTAAGATCAAAGCTCGGCTCGGCTCGGCCCGTTAACACTCCTACCA